TCAAGAAGAGTTCGATCCTATCTACAAGTTTGAGATGTTTAGATCAAATTTAATTTCTTTTCCTAGTTCTTTTACAATTTCTCAATGTGTTATAAGTACTGCTATTTCCCAGAATTATTAATCAATTCATACATCAGAATTTCTTCAGATTTCCTCTTCAATTTTCGCCACCTTTTCTCTCTTCTAGAGAAATCGTGTAGTTTCGCTAGAAACTAGGTTCGCCCGGTGCTTGCATAGCCAGCTCCGGTTTTCCATTGCTTCCACGCTGCATCATGAAGTTTTGTCAGTGTTTAATTTGACTTGGCCATCTTGAGGTTTTGTCCATCTAATCCAATGCACTGTTCTCCTAGCTACACTTTTGATTGGGATGCGAAGGTCAATTAGCCATCTAGTATTATGATCAACATGCTTTGGGAAAGGAGCAAGATTATTTGGCTCTCTTATCTAAGCTTTAACACGTTGGATTATTTGAGTTGCAATCATATATTTTGAATCAAAAGTTCTCCTATAACGCTCAACCCAGATTTTCCATAAAATTAGAGAAGGCAAGCTTGCCAAAACTAGTTGATTCATTGACAGTCAAAAGAGCATTGGTTCCACCAATCAAAAATGCAATCCCTTATATGTTGGGATCTGAAAATTGTGAGCTCAAAATTAACACTGAAGTATTGCTAACATTTAGAAGCCAAGATACACTGCTGAAAAGGTGATCAATATTTTCTATATTACTCCATCTGACTACTATGCACGTATTTTGAAGCAAGATAAACCCATTTAGATTTGATCATATCATCCACAGCTACAGCCCTATGAAAAAATCTCCACATAAATACTGAGATTTTAGAAGGCAAGCCCACCTTACAAACAAACTTGTACCAGTTTACTGGCCGGTTCTTCTTTCTAAATATTTCCCATGCTGATTTAATTGAAAACTTGCCATCTGAATTTCCTTTCCAAATCAAACAATCATGCTGATTTAATTGGCTTTGGTTGATTGCAAAGTCCATTGTTTGCATTAATTCTTTCGAAAACCGAGAGGGCCAGTGATCCAAAATTAGTGTTGCATTTGCTTGATTAATGAATCTTTACCAAAAAATGGTCTTGTAAAATGGTTCTACATTATACAAAAAAGGTCAGGACCGGATCTAGTGGACACAAATATGGTAACTACATTCAATGAACACTTGATAAATAGTCTGAATTTCTGATAACTGTGGAAACTTGTTTTTGGGGTATTTTAAGGGACAGGTGTCAAAAAGTTTTTTAAGTACTCATTGAATGTTTTACAATATTGTGCCTACCTGATCTGGACGAAAAAGACCATCCCTTATTAAGGAAACGTTACCCTCCTTGATCTTCTTTTACAAACCATGCGTGCAACATAAACCTAATCAACTAGGAAAGAAATCCAGGCTTACTAGTCTCCGACTTGCTTTCGCACCATCCAATTCTCCTGTTAACGCTTCCTCTCGATTGGGCGTATTTTGAAATGCATAAAAGAAACAAGTTGCATCTCCAGAGCCATTGAACCTACCAGGGAGATTTTTTATTTTGCTCCATAGGGCTACATTACATGTTGATGGAACAGTAGGCACTTCATGTTCTGGTGCAAATTTCCTTTTGCGTAATCACGTCGGTGAGTGTCTTTTTGCCCGTGTTGTGCCATTTGATTCTCAACCCCTTCTTGTTACAGAAGCCATGGCAATGGTGGAAGGTCTGAAATTTGCAGCAGAGCTTGGTATTAGTCACTCTTAGTTGAAAGTGATGCTCTTTCGCTTGTTAGATGTTTGTTGGTGGATTTCATAGAACCACCATGGTCTATCAGCATTCTAGTGGCTGAGTGCAGACATCTATTGCTTCACTTTCAGAATTCTCAAACCCCTTCTCTCTCTTGTTCTAGAATTCATACATGGTCTTGTATTCCTTATTTTCTTTTGAATATCATTGTGCAAGAGATTGTTAGCGAGATTCGTTGAATGGATTAGCCTTTTGGAGCATTAAAAAAAAAAAAAACCAGGGGGTAGTCCATTAACCCCTCCAACCCTGGTGGCAGGGGATTTAATCCCAGACCTTTAGCTTTTGATAAGTAATTTGTCTCATTGCTTTAGCTGGACCCGTAAATCTTGACTTGTTTGGAATGTAATTTGTCTTGATAACAATACCGATTAGTGACATTTTTGATGAATGTGGAATTAGTAGGGGTTTATTCCAGCCAAGTTGAGCCGAATAGTAAGAGGTTTGAGTTCGGTTCGCCAAGGTTGTATAAGGCTCGAGCTTGAGTAAAAAACTCATAAGTTCGAGCTCGGTTCGGCTTGAGCTGAATTTGAAGAAAAATATTTTATAAAAATAAAAAATTATATATAATTTTTTTTATTTGATATATTCGAGCTTGGCTCGTTTATTAATCAAGCCTGCAAATTGGGCTCAAGCTCAGTTGAAACCGATTCGAGCCGAGCTTTACACAAGCTGAGTTCGAGCAGCTCGTGAAAAGCTCAGCTTGTTGCTACCCCTATGTGGAAGGAAGTTGAAATCACTCAAATTTCCAAACCAGTAAACCATCGCCCAATGAATTCCAAAGAAGTCACTTTTCCGCATCTTTACCTTGCTGACCCCTAATGCAGTAAATGTAGATACTCAGTAATAGACCTGTTCATGGGCCGGGCCGGCCCGACCCCCGGACGGGCTTGAACAGGCTTTTTGGCCTGTGGGCTTAACCTCGGGCCAAAAAGCCCGGCTTGCATAAAATTCGAGCCGGGCTCGGTCTTTGCCAAAATAGCCCGGCCTGACCTATAGTTAAACCTAAGTAAAAACCCTATGTGATGTCCATTTGAATAAATTTTTTGATTTGAGAAGGTTGTTGATTCACTTGTAGGCCCATTGTTCATTTAAATAGGGAAAAAAACATTTGAATTAAAATAGATAATGTCTATTTGAATAGGGAAAAATTCGAATTTCTTTTATTAGGTCGGGTTCGGGCTCGAGCTCGGGCTTCGGGCTTTTTATCAGGGCCGAGCTCGGGCCCAAGTTGTAGGCCCGTTGGTCGGGCCAGGCTCGGGCTCGGGCCTAACATTTTTCTATTAATAAAGAGTCAAAGCCCGGCCCGAGCCCGACCCGGCCCAACCCATGAACAGGTCTACTCAGTAATGAAGTCTAAAACTCATTATAATTTTTCAGCATTTCTTTTAAGCTCACAATGACTTTTCAAAACTTCTAGAGAATCCTATGTTAGTAACTTAACGTTAAGACTATGTTTGGTTTGAAGGAAAAGGTAGGGAAAGGAAGGAAAAGGTAGGAAAACCCTTATAAATCTTGTATAGGTTTTCCTATCTTTTCCTACTTTTTTCTTCAAACCAAACACAACTTAAATGGACTAATGGTTGTTAGTAGATTACCATCTTACCCTTTACAAAAATGTAAAATATACACATATATTTTAATTAAAAAGACATGAAAAAAAGAAAAAGTTCAAAAAAGTATTTTCAAATACAAAAGTATAAAATACATAAAAAATAAGAAATTGCAAACAAAATAAAAAAATGATTAAACTCCAAATTTGAAAAACAAAATAAAAAAATAATAATTGTAGAAAAACATAGAAATTGAAAATAAATGACAAAAAATATTGAAAATAATTTACACGTTTACCCTACCCGTTGCCATTCCTAATTGGGACCGCTTTCCCACCGCTATGGCCCATAAAGAAGCAACTTAAAATTAGTAACCGTTTGGGAGGGCTTTCAAGTAAAAAGGCTTCTGGCTTTCTAAGGTAGATGATCCCAAAGTAGCTGAATCAGCTTCCGTTTTACCTCTTTTTCTTACATTGACGCTTTGTCGCCGAAACCAGATTCATGGTATATACCGGATACCTTATTCCCCCGTCGAGTTCAAATCGTCTTCATCACGTACCTTCCACCTGGTTCAACCATGTTCTCATCTCTTCAACTCTCCTTATGACCTGTCAATTGGGCCATTATTCATAGACGTCTTCATACGTATGGCGGGCGGTAAGAGGAGAGACAGAAACCATATCGTTAATTTCCATTGACTTAGTCTCATATTCTTTTTCACAATTATTAATGAACAGGACTGATATCTGGGCCACCGTACGTGATGCACGCAAAACTGATCCCGCTCATATTTATAAGTTCTGACCCCAAAGGCTAGCGCTCGTACGTCGGTCCCTCCAAGTTCAGTCATGAGACTTCCATCTCCTCCTGCAATCGTTCCTTTGTCACTTCTCTTCTCTTTCACCTTCTTCCTGTGCTCTTCTTTCGTCCTTTCGGCATCCCGGAATTCTATATACAGAGGGGCTTCTCTTTCCGTTGAAGACCATGTTTCGGACGTCCTCACCTCCCCAGATCAATCCTTCGCTTGCGGATTTTACCAGGTTGGCATTGATGCCTACAGTTTCTCAATTTGGTTCGCACACTCCAATATTAAAACAGTCGTCTGGACGGCTAACCGAGACCAACCCGTAAACGGCCGAAGCTCGAGAGTTTCTCTGCACCGAGATGGCACAATGGTTCTTACCGACGTAGATGGCTCAATTGTCTGGTCCACCAATACCACCAACAAGAACGTGGACAAAGCTGAGCTCCTGGACACGGGAAACCTCGTTTTGAAGAACCTATCTGGTGACATCCTTTGGCAAAGTTTTGACTATCCTACTGACACTCTTCTCCCTGGGCAACCCTTCACCAGACGCACCAGGCTCATCTCTGCAATGGCTAATGGAACACATGTCTCGGGCTATTTTACATTGTTTTTTGACAACGACAATGTTTTGAGATTAGCGTATGATGGGCCTGAGTTTTCTAGCTTGTATTGGCCTAATCCTGATTACACTAATGTATTTCAACTCGGTAGAACAAAGTACAACAGTAGCAGAACCGCGCTGCTTGATGTCATGGGGAGATTTTCATCAAGCGACAGAACCAATTTTTTTGCTTCTGATATGGGTTCTGGGATCGAAAGGCGATTGACATTGGATTATGATGGTAATCTTAGACTCTATAGCTGGGACAACTCAACCGCGTCGTGGGTGGTCTCATGGCTGGCTCTCCCACGGCAGTGCGATATCCATGGGTTGTGCGGTAGAAACGGGGTTTGTACTTATACGCCTATACCCAAGTGTTCATGTCCGCCAGGTTACGAGAGGAGTGATCCAGTTGATTGGAATAAAGGTTGCAAGCCAAAATTTACTCGAACATGTAACCAAACTCAGCAGTTCAAATTTGTGGAGCTTCCATATACGGATTTCTGGGGTTATGATCTTGATTATCAAGAACAGTCATCACTGGAACATTGCAGGGAGCTTTGCCGGGCGAAGTGCTCTTGTGAGGCTTTTGTCTTCGGGCTTAACGGAGTAGGAGCTTGTTACACAAAAGCTTCTCTTTTTAACGGGCGCAAAGCTCCAAGCTTTCCTGGCACAATATATTTGAAGCTGCCGAAAAGTTTGGACACATCGGAACCTTCCAATCTTACAATATCTGATCTCACTTGTGGATTTAGCAAGGTTGGAAATCAGGTGGGTTCCTCCAATATGTATGGTAAGGACAACAAAGGTCGAACGAGGTGGATTTATCTCTACTCGTTCATTTATGCAATTGGTGCTATTGAATCTCTGTTCATTGCATCTGGTTGGTGGTGCCTTTTTAGGAGAAATAAGGTGAAAATATCGATGGAGGATGGATACCGTGCCATTTCCAGTCAGTTCAAGAAGTTTACCTATGCTGAGCTAAAGAAGGCAACCAAGAATTTCAAGGAAGAGTTAGGGAGGGGAGGCTCCGGTAGTGTTTACAAGGGAGTTCTGGAAGATAATAGGGTGGTGGCCGTGAAGAAACTGGGAGATGTGATCCAAGGAGAGGAAGAGTTTTGGGCTGAAGTGAGCATGATTGGGAGAGTGAACCACATGAACCTAGTGAGAATGTGGGGATTTTGTACAGAAAAGACCCACAGATTGTTGGTCTACGAGTATGTAGAGAACGGATCACTGGATAAGCATCTCTTCTCCTCTAGTGACAGAAGTTGTTTGTTGAATTGGAAAGAGAGGTTTAGAATTGCTCTTGGGACGGCCAAGGGTCTGGCTTATCTTCACCATGAGTGTCTCGAGTGGGTTGTCCACTGTGATGTGAAGCCTGAGAACATACTCTTGGACAGCAATTATGAACCTAAGATTGCAGATTTTGGATTGGCAAAGTTGTCTCAGAGAGGTCAAAGTGGTTCCAATTTCTCTAAAATCCGAGGAACAAAAGGGTACATGGCTCCAGAATGGACTCTAAACCTTCTCATCACTGCCAAGGTAGATGTGTATAGCTATGGAGTTGTACTTCTGGAGATTGTGAAGGTCATTCGGCTTTCAGACTGGGTGGTAGTCGATGGGGAGCACGAGACTGAGCTGACTAGATTCCTCAGGGTAGTGAAAGAGAAGATTGAATGCGGAGGGGACTCATGGATTGAAGATATATTGGATCCATCATTGAGAGGACAATTTAACAAGAAGCAGGCAGCAGCCATGGTCGAAGTGGGTATTTCCTGTGTGGATGAGGATAAAAGCAAAAGGCCAACCATGGATGAAGTAGTGAAGATTCTACTAGAAATAGAATGAAGATGATTCCGAACTAGTCTACATTTAAAAGTATGTATGCGGTATTAATTAATTGTAGTATTTCACATTTCCAGGTTCTGTACTCGTAAAAGAATCTCTACATATGGTCTATAGTCTCTGCTTCTGTATACAAACATTATGTAATTTATGTTAGCTTCTGCTGGTACTATAAGATTACTATAGTTAATTTTCATTTAGTTTGTTAACAAGTTGTGTACTTTATTTTTAATTGATTTGTTTTCATTTCTGAGTTGTGCTAGCTAGCCGACTGATCCCTTAAAAATCAGAGGAATGAAACAGGTTCTGTATTGCAATTTACCTTAACATTTATTTCATCCGGCATTATATATAGATATTGCCTTGGTTAGGATGTTAAGCTCAAATTGGAAACAAACTTGCAGTGGTTTGGTATACATATTTGATTTTGCAATGCAAATGATGGTAAATTTGTGATTTGTTACCATATTTGCATTTAACCTTGCGTCGTCTACCTCCTACACTGAAATAGGCATGCCTTAAAAGTACATGTATAGGCTATTTGTAGAAAGTAGGGAAAACTGTACAAAACCTAAAAGGCTTAATTTCATAATGATGATGGCATATGGAGAAATGAGAGGAATCCTGGAGCTAAATTTGACTGTCCAAGTTCAACAAAATCGATTTTGTCCTCAAAAATTTGGTCCTTATTAGACTGTCTTCATGACCCTTTCAATTATGCATTTGGCTCGGTTTGAAAAGAGTACAAGTACAAATATGTACAGTATAAATATATTCAAAATAATACAAAATACAATATTTTGCACTCTACACATTTATATTTATACTCCTTCCAAACTGAGCCTTTGGAACAACTTCCCATGAAAAAATATACAAGACCAATTTTGTGAGGACCGTGTGAAGACCAATTTTGTGATGACAGCATATGTTTTCAACAATGGAGCTCTCTTCACATGACCCCTTAGTTCATACGGTCATTGTGAGTTGATATGGAAGCCTCCTAAGCATTTCACCTGAGGTTGCTTGGAGGGATGCCCTTCATTGAAGGAGCGAAATTTTTTTGGAAAAGTAAGGACAAATCCATTATAGATTTTTGAATTTCACTGCAGATCTATGAACATTCAAAATGTCAAATACTCCCACTTTATATACTAATGCTCACCCATGAATTGGCATCAATTTCAAGTTGGCACATACCCCAACTGTACTTTGAGCTTAAGAATTCTGACCCTGGATTGAACCCTCATTCTCCCAAATCAGTTAAGGCTAGGCTATCGATCATTCCTCAGCTCTTCATTTTGCTCAACAGAGTGAACTTCTCCATCATCTTGTCTCCTACAAAGGTATGAAATGCACAAGGAGTCGTCTGAGAAGTCAATGAGATGGAGAATTAGAACATCAAATCAGTTAAGGTGGGAAAGGGAGGAATGGAGAGCATCATACATCACCCATAAGTCCACAATCTGACTAAAAAGGTTATCTCCCCCATTTAGACTTCCAGGATTGAACCTATCATCACCACACAATTTGCTTTTTATGTTGGCATCTTTTCTGGGAAAAGGTGATGTGTTTGGACGACGATCCATGATACCCCTCTCTTCCAATCTGACCCGGAACATGTTTCTCCTGAAAAGTAGAATCACTGTTCAAACTTTCAAACTTATCTCTGAAAAGTAGAATCAATGCCTCGAAACAGAACACACCCGCTTCCTCATTCTCCAATGATTCCCCTGTTTCTTCTCTTCCTTGCGGTCTCCTTCCACTCTTCTTTTGCCTCCTCAACAGCCAAGAATTTTATTAACAGAGGTTATTCTTTGTCGGTTGAAGATCATGCTTCAGTCCTTGCCTCCTTGGATCAATCATTCACCTGCGGATTTTACCTGGTTGGCTCAAATGCCTACAGTTTTTCGATTTGGTTCACCAACTCCAGAGAAAGGACGGTGGCTTGGATGGCTAATCGAGATCTTCCAGTAAATGGCCGAGGCTCAAGAGTTTCATTGCTTCGAGATGGAACTATGGTCCTTACCGACGTTGATGGCTCAACCGTCTGGTCCACCAACACCACCGGCACCAAGGTGGACAAAGCTGAGCTCCTGAACACAGGGAACCTCGTTTTGAAGGACCCATCTGGCAAAATCCTCTGGCAAAGCTTTGATTCTCCCATTGATACTCTTCTACCTTCACAGCCTCTCACCAAGAGTAAGAAACTGGTCTCTGCTACAAGCAAAAGAACATATTATTCAGGGTATTTTAGTTTGTTTTTCGACAGCGACAATGTTCTCAAGTTAATGTATGACGGACCTGAGATTTCTAGCTTGTATTGGCCTAATCCAGATTATTCTGTATTTCAGAATGGTAGGACAAGTTACAATAGTAGTAGAATTGCAGTGCTCGATGAAATGGGTCGTTTTTTGTCGAGTGATAGAATGGAATTTATGGCCTCTGACATGGGTTTTGGGACTAGAAGGCGATTGACACTGGATTATGATGGTAATCTTAGACTCTATAGCTTGAACGAGTTAACCGGATTGTGGGTGATCTCATGGCAAGCTCTAGCACAATTGTGCAACGTCCATGGTCTGTGTGGCAAAAATGGGATTTGCCTCTATACACCACAGCCCAAATGTTCATGCCCGCCGGGTCATGAGATGAGTGACCCAAGTGACTGGAGCAAAGGTTGCAGGCCCACATTCAATTTAAGCTGCGAAGATACTGAAAAATTGAGATTCGTGGAGATTCCTCATACGGATTTCTACGGATTTGATTTCTATTATGGTCCTTCTACATCATTTGAATCTTGCATGAAGCTCTGCTTGGGGAATTGCACTTGTAAGGCTTTTGTTTACAGGTTAACAGGAGAAGCAACCTGCTACACAAAGAGTGCTCTTTTTAATGGGTACAGATCACCTAGGTTCGTTGGGAACTTATATTTGAAACTACCAACAAGTGTGGAAACATCAGAAACCTTAGTGCTTGGAGGAACTGACATCACTTGTGGAATTAGAGAAGCTGAAACTAATATGGGCTTGCTCAAAACGCTTGATGCAGGGAGCGGAAAGACAAAATGGGTATACCTGTACTTATTTCTCTGTGTGATTGGAGCAATTGAAATTGTCTTTATTATATCAGGTTGGTGGTGCCTTTTCAGAGGACAGAAGGTGTCTAAATTGATCCAGAATGGATACCACATAATACCCAATCAATTTAGGAAGTTCACTTATGCAGAACTGATGAAGGCAACGAAGATTTTCAAGGAAGAACTAGGGAGGGGAGGCTCTGGGGCTGTTTACAAGGGACTTTTAGGGGACAACACAGTGGTGGCGGTGAAGAAACTAGAAGATGTGATTGAAGGAGAAGATGCATTCTGGGCTGAAGTGAGCACATTTGCGAGAGTTAACCATGTGAACATAGTAGGAATGCTGGGCTTCTGTTCAGAAGGAACCAAAAGATTATTGGTCTACGAGTATGTAGAGAATGGATCATTGAGTAAAAACCTCTTCTCCGACGCCAGTAGTAATAGCAATGGCGAAGCTAGTTCTCTGAGTTGGAAGGAGAGGTTCAGAATTGCTTTAGGGACAGCCAAAGGTCTGGCTTACCTTCACCATGAGTGCCTTGAATGGGTTATACATTGTGATGTGAAGCCTGAAAACATACTCCTGAACAGAAATTTCGATCCTAAGATATCCGACTTTGGATTGGCGAAGTTGTCTCAGAGATGTGGATCTGGTCTCCAGGTGTCTAGAATCAGAGGAACAATGGGGTACTTGGCTCCAGAGTGGGCGTCCAATCTTCCCATCACTACAAAGGTTGATGTTTATAGCTTTGGAGTGGTACTCCTAGAGATTGTGAAGGGAATTCGGCTTTCAAGCTGGATGGTGGCTAATGGGGAGGAGGCTGAACAAACTAGATTTCTCTGGTTAGTGAAGAAAAAGATTGAATGCGGGGATGACTCGTGGGTTGAGGATATAGTGGATCCAGCATTGAAAGGGCAGTTCAACAAGAAGCAGGCAGCTAGGATGGTCGAGATAGGTATATCCTGCATTGAGGAAGACAAAAGCAAAAGACCAGCCATGGATGAAGTAGTCCAATTTCTACTAGAATGTGAAGATGGTCCAAAACTACCTACTTTAGATATGCCGTAATTCACAGAGACAATATCTTGAAACCTCCCTACATAGATTTATCATAGATTGGAGCAGATCCAAAATGAATGGTATGTTTCTTCTTCTTCTTCTTCAATGATCAATGGTATACATTTGGTTATTTGACTAGTAATCTTCATTTTGTAGAGATAGGTACATTTGGTTTGTAAAATGAATGGTATATTTCTTCAATGGCAAACATTTGGTTATTTAATGGGCTGGGTTGGTCTTTAATGGGTTAAAAGACTAACCCAAATTTGATTATGAGATTCGACTTGGACCAGTCCAGTCCAGGTTTTGTAAAAGTTCTTAAGGCCCTGGACCTCGCCACTGGGATATTGATAGAAGTTCCCAAGTCATATTGCATACTTGGTGACGTCAACTTGAGGGCATCTGCGTCCCAGAAGGCGCCCCACATGCACATAATATCTCCCGGTGTTTCTAATACACGGTTGGGATAAGCTGTGGAGCATTTATGGGATGCCCTCTGTAGGGGCATAGATGTGATCTCATTGCGATCCATTGATTGTAGTTTGACCATTCATCAAGGTGTCTCTGCAACAAGTTTCCAAAATCCAACCAGACCATTAGATGAAGGGAGGATCCCTGATGCTCACATACTTAAGCGTCTATGTCTAGTCAAATCGCTTAATTGCTCCTTTGAAATGTAGAGGGGATTTGAAGAATTTTAATCCGTGCTCCACATAGTGGGCCCCATTGCAAATCCCATCCATGTTGCGAACATCGAACATCGAACATCTCTATCACAAGTAGGGAAGATGTAAAAGTGAGATGTGTGTATACGTTGGGCATTACTTTAACGGGATGTTTGGAATCGTGGCCGTTTTTCAAAAAATCTACATAATTATTTCAACAAACGCACATATATATGAATATTTGGTTCAGGCGTTTATTGAAAAATTAGGCCTGTCTCATTAATCAGATCCCACGGATGCATGAAGCGCTAAATTTAGGGTTTTATGCATCGATGAACCATTGCGCCCAACAGTTGATTGATGTATATCCTATGTGGTGCTTACCTGACAGCATATACATGAAAAAACGGTGATGAAAATTACCTTATCAAACAGCATAATGTTGCTCACTACCTACATGGTAGAAACATTTTTTTTATGAAAAACGGGTCTTGAAGGCATGAGCGTTTGCTTTTCTTTTTAAAAATCGGGTCCCAAAAAATACCCACACTTCCAAACACCATCTAAATAAATTAGAATCTGTTACCAACAAAATGATGCCAACGTGCCGCTGTAGCACTGCAATGGCTAGTTGAGATTTATTGGCACCGTGTGGTGACTGGTGATGGTTGATCGAAACTCGATTTGAAAATACAGATTCGCCAAAGCGGATTTTTCATAGCTCAAAAGTTCAAACAGAATGATTCTTATCTACACGTCCATTGGTTTAATCTACTTTATTACGGTTCATTCAATCCCTGCATATACTTCTGTTTTTCTAGATCTGCCAATTCTTGAGATTGACTAGTATTGATCTCTTCTCCCCATCAGACGTTGAGAAAAGGGATACTTACGGAGTTAATTTGTTTGTGCATTCGCTCCCTCTCAAAGAAAAGCAAGGTCCAAGCATATAAATGTAAGAACAGTTACATAAGAATTCTATTTTCAATGTAAGAAAAGTTGCATAAAAATTCTATTTTTCAAGTATTTTCTTTATGCACCCATAGATTTTTCATTCCTTGTAATTCTACTAGGATAGACAGGTTCTGCATTTTGATATCGTTACCTATACAGTAGTGATGCCTACTGATATGGTTGGATTGATCCACAGAAGCTTGGAGCAATCACAGTGTAGCTCTTCAAGTTCTGCCAGTTGCAGTCCATCCATGGAATCAAGATTAATTAAATCACAGGTAGGAAAGCAACGAGCCACACTATTGTAATCAGATTAAATTAAGAAAAAGGATTATTCATCTTTCCAGACAGGACCATTTTCTATGATCAGCTGCATCTCCAATCTATATTTAAAGGAGTAGTACCATTTTTATTTCAATATTTTGTTCCGTTTATGTATTCACTATAGAAAAAGTGAGGGTGCGGACTACACCAGACAATCTGATTCATATTCTAAAGAATCTGATGATGGAGAATCTCTCTCTTGATTTCAAGTGTAGAGAATTCCACTGGAGGAAATTCAGTAATTGCAGAGAACCTATCTTCTCAAAAACAGATCCCCAGATAAATGATAACCATCAATTAGATGCTACTCAGCTATATATTATGTTATCCCCCTCATGCACCAAGTCTCAAATTGAATGAAATGTACTACTAAAAAATTTAGAAAATAAACAAAATAAGAGAAAAAAAAAATCAAACCTGGCATACTAGAATAGATTAAACCAATGGACGTGTAGATGAAGAATCATTCTGTTTGAACTTTTGAGAGTTGGGGAATCACCAAAAGAGTTGCTTTGGTGTAGGATTTTGCTTGGAGATGGGAAATCACGAAATGAAGTTCTATTCTGTTTTGATTTGAATTCTATAGAAGATCTAAAAACTCTTTGAGATAACAGTGGGAAAAACTAATGCTGTAAGTGGTCCTCCCTTCTTAACCCAAGTTGGCTTATTAATTGACTTGGACCAATAAAAAATCGTGGGAGGACGAATTCGTCCTTCCTTGAATGAGCTAGGCTCGCCACCTCAGTTGTGCTTCAACGATGGGATTACACCTTCAATGTCCTTTGTCTAACAAGTAAATTATTGGCTACTTTTGAACAATCTGATAATCCAAAACCTAGTATATTTCAGATACATCCATCAAGACTATTAATTTAACTCTTCTTCTTCTTCTCCCTATAATAGGGATCCAAGACATGGAAGTATACGGGAAGATCCAAGACATTAATATTTAATGTATCATAGATTTCCCTTATAATATTTCACACGTGCCTTTATGCTAGTTATAGTAAATAAATAAAAAAACACTACCCTTAAATAAAACAAAAACAGAAAAATGGATGTCTAAAGTAAAAGTCATACTAATTGAACATCATATATATATATACAAAAAATGAGAACATCAATCTTAACAAAAAAATGGATGTCTAAACCAAAAATGCAAATTTTGGTTTAATTTTATTTTGAATTTTGCCTTATTCTACTTTGTACTTTATTTTACATCATTTTTATTGCAACCAAACAAGGTAAGGTAAAATTTGAAACAAAAATAAATCAGAACTTGTACCCAAATAATTCGCACTACCATAATTTTGCATCAGTGCAAATGAATTTGTACTGCAACCAAACACAGCCTAATGGATTGATTTTGAATTCAAATCAGATTAAATTCATTCATTTACGGTCTTATATATTTTCAGGTAAAAGATCACAGCTTATTGTAGCCTGAGGTTTTGTTCCCTAGGTGAGGTGATGTAGCAGGTCATCGACCAAGAAGATTAGCTCTTTTGCCTGATTGAGTGAATTGAATCACTAAAGCTATATTTGGTTTGAAAGAAAAAGTAGGGAAAAGAAAGGAAAGGTAAGATAACGTTTACAAACCTTGTATTGGTTTTTCTGTCTTTCCCTTCCTTTTCCTACATTTTCCTTCAAATCAAACATAACTTAAAAGTATTTTAATGAACCCAATTACTTGATATTCAATAAGCTTCATAGGAAGGCCTTATGTCGGGGCAAAGAAGTCCCAGCACGTTCAGTAGCATGGCTTTAACAAGTTGATCAACAAGCTAGCAAGCAATTGCCAATTTGCCACCTCTACTGAAACAAATTAACACACACCCCTATTGTGATCAAAATTTTTTTTTTTTTCATTCTCTGTAACATAAACTCAAGGCAATGGACCTTGACCTTGTAATGCCTCTTTAACAGTTCAGATTATGGGATTCATGATCTCACAGCCACAGGCCATTCAAAAGCTCCAAATTATTGGGCTGAATTTGTTACACCACAAAAAATATAAACTTCTATGCATTGGTTGAATGGTCTAGGTCATCCAATTATTAAATAATCAAATCATCATCGTCATCATTCAAACCTTACCCCAACTATACGGGGTCGATTATATGAAACGTATTTTGTCATTCATTTCTTTAGTGCCATATCTATTGTTAAACTACTGGCACTTAAATCACTTCTTATAAATTAATCATATGTAATAGATGTATGGATCTTTGTTCTTTTCAGCAAGTATTTGAAAACTGAAAAAAAAAAAAAAAGTTTCTAATTGAATGCTGGATACAACCTAGACAGGACACGAATTCCAAGTTGCAGAGAAATGGTAGGGGTGGAAAATGGGTGGATTGGGTTGGATGTGGGTTGAATACTAACCCACCCCATCCCCATTAATTAAACATTAATGATCCACACCCAATAGTGACCCATATGCCATATATTAATTAATTAAATTGTAACCTTGACCCACCCATCTTGATACATATATTTGAATATTTAAATGGCCGCCATCAGATGTGGCATATACACATTCCATTCCACGGTCCATATATATATATATATATATATATATATATATATATATATATATATATGATTGCAGTTATCGATTGTATCGTTAACAAATTAATGGGTCCTTCTAAAGTATGTCTCCATTGTGATGACAAATTAATGGTCCAATAATGCAAGCTCGCTGATATTGAAGCACAATTGTGATGACAAATGCGTTATATATTGTGCGTTTCAAAGCAAGACACGGTCCAATAATCCAGTGCGACTAACGGGGCGAAAGCTCTGATAATGCGACAAGCTTGCTGAATAATAATTGGGAGATTCGAGCCAAATGAAATGTCCTCTCAACAATCAAAGACCAGTCTACTCAGAGAGGGCTAGGGATTCTCTGGAATATATATGAACTTTTCTCTACCCTTATAACGAAGCGTCCTCTCAACGATTAATCACCATGTGTTGTTGTTACTCTGGTCGCCGATAACTGCTATTAAGGTTCCCGGTCTGATGGATCCAAAGTTGATCAAATATCACCATGTGATATTTCTAGAATTTCTTTTAGCACCAGCCAGTTTTGCTCTTTAGTCATTGCACTCTCAGCCAAAAAGATGCAGGGAAGAGTCAAGATATCTGTTTGCAAGTTGCATCGTAGGCGTAGGGCGTGGAGGAGTCGCACGAAGGAGGTGCTGACTGCTGAGTGGGTTAATTTAGACTCTAGGAGAGGAGGAGGAGGAGGAGGAGGTTAAGTTATGTAAAAGTCAAAGTCGGCTTGCTATATATATGCAATATTGAATATTGTTCTCACTCCTCAAGGAGTCTAGTCATCAGTAGGGTTAGAACTTAGAAGAGGAATGCAGTCAAATTAAATGACCCGTCAATTGCGCTACGGCCACTCGTCGTCTTCCATAAATATAATCCATTAATGAGTGAACCAGAGGAATGCAACGCTTGCGCATTGTAATCCTCTATATTCCCCCTTCATTCATGACTTCTTCGTTCACGTTTCACCCAGAAATTTAACTCGAGTTATCTTCTTGTACTATCAGACTCTTTCAAATTAATGAATCTGATACGCTAGCTATCCGTCAGAAAATCAAGCTTGGGCCTTGGAGTACCTGCAGCCAAGTTCAAGCATGAGACACCCAACGTTAACTTGTGCTGGTTGTCCAAGTCCAACCATCCTTTTTTATTTTCTTTTCCTTGTGATCATCTCTCTTCACTCTTCCTTTGCATTTTCAGCACCCCGGAATTCCATGTACAGAGGCTCTTCCCTGTCAGTCGAAGGTTCTGCTTCGGACGTTCTTACGTCCCCTGACAAATCCTTCACCTGTGGATTTTACCCAGTCGGCACAAATGCCTACAGCTTCTCTATTTGGTTCACCAACTCCAAGGAAAGGACCGTCACTTGGATGGCTAACCGAGATCATCCTGTTAATGGACGACGTTCCAGAGTTTTGCTGCAGAGAGATGGCACCATGGTCCTTACTGATGCTGACGGCTCAGTCGTATGGGCTACAAACACCACCAAAACCAAGGTGGACAGAGCCGAGCTCCTGAACACGGGGAACCTTGTGCTGAAGGACCCTCTTGGAAAAATACTTTGGCAAAGCTTTGATTTTCCTACAGATACACTTCTCCCTTTGCAGCCATTCACTACGAACATTAGATTGACATCTGCAAAGGGTAGGGGTGATTATTCCAAAGGCTATTATAACTTCTATTTCGACAATGACAACGTTTTGAGATTGATGTATGATGGACCTGAGATTTCTAGCCTATATTGGCCTAACCCCGAATTCAGCGTATCTGGAAATGGTCGAACAAACTATAACAGCACCAGAATTGCAGGGTTCGATGAGATGGGCAGGTTTTCATCCAGCGACGACATGCAATTTTCCGCTACTGATTTGGGTTATGGGATTAAAAGGAGACTAACAATGGATTACGATGGTAATCTTAGACTCTATAGCTTAAACGAGTCAAACGGACTATGGCATATAACATGGGAAGCTCTTCAACAACAGTGCAGTTCTCGTGGGCTATGTGGAAGAAATGGAATTTGTGTTTATACACCAACGCCTAAGTGCTCATGCCCACCGGGTTACGAGAGGGCGGACAAAACCGACTGGAGCAAAGGATGTAAGCCTCAGTTCAATCGGAGCTGCGACCAACCTCATCATCAACAGCAGGTGAAATTCGTGGAACTCCCACATACAGATTTCTATGGATTTGATTTCGAACCTGCAAAGTTCATATCACTAGAAGAATGCAAGAAGCTTTGCTTGGAGAAGTGCTCTTGTGAGGCCTTTACCTATAGGCTAACAGGAGAACCATATTGTTTCTATAAGTCTGCACTTTTTAACGGGTACACCACTCCAGACTTCCCAGGAACTATTTATTTGAAACTGTTCGGAAGTTCGGAATCAATGGAACCCCCTACACTGGAAGAATCCGATCCCATCTGTGGATCCAGAGAAAGTAAAGTCCTGATGACGGGTTCATCTGATACATATAATTCAGAGAGCAAAACGAAATGGATTTATCTCTTTGCATTTGCTTTCTCAATTGGTGCGATTGAAATGTTCCTAATCGCACCAAGTTGGTGGTGTCTCTTTAGGAGAAATAAGGTGCAAACGTCAATGGAGGATGGGTACAATGTGATATTCAACCAGTTCAAGAGGTTCACTTACGCTGAGCTAAACAAAGCAACCAAAATGTTCAAATATGAGCTGGGGAGAGGTGGCTCCGGTACTGTTTACAAGGGAGTTCTAGAGGACAATAGAGTGGTTGCAGTGAAGAAATTGGGAGACGTAATTCAAGGAGAAGAAGAGTTCTGGGCCGAAGTGAGCACATTTGGGAGAATCAACCATATTAACCTCGTGCGAATGTGGGGATATTGTTCAGAGAAAATTCATAGACTTTTGGTATATGAGTATTTTGAGAATGGGTCACTAAATAAGCACCTCTTCTCCAATTCCAGCAGGAGCAAAGAAGCTCGTTTGCTGAATTGGAAGGAGAGGTTTAAAATCGCACTGGGTATAGCTAAGGGGCTGACTTACCTTCACCATGAGTGTCTCGAATGGGTTATACACTGTGACGTGAAGCCTGAAAACATACTTTTGGACAGCAATTTCGAACCTAAGATTGCTGATTTTGGGCTGGCAAAATTGTCTCAAAAAGGTAAGTATGGTTCCGAGTTCTCTAGGATTCGAGGAACAAAAGGATACATGGCTCCAGAATGGGCTCTAAACCTCCCTATAACGGCAAAAGTTGATGTTTATAGCTTTGGGATTGTACTACTAGAGATTGTAAAGGGCGTTCGTCTTTCCAACTGGGTAGTCGTGGATGGAGAAGAGGAGACAGAGTTGACAGGACTTCTCAAGATGGTAAAGAACAGGATCAAGTATGGAGTTGATGCGTGGGTTGAGGCCATAGTGGATCCGAGTTTGAACAACCAATTCAATAGAAACCAAGCATCAATGATGATCGAGATAGGAATATCCTGCATTGAGGAGGATAGAAGCAAGAGACCAACCATGGATATGGTTGTACAAACTCTGCTTGAATGTGAAGATGAACCAGAAAATTTTGCTGCAAGCATGTATCAAGAATTAATGTAGGCATGGCAACATGCATGTAATAGATTCTTCTTTCTCTGCAGATCAGATATGCATGTCAGTTTAACTTGTGATACTTAGCTAATTAAGGTAACATAATTTATTATTTACTCTTTTTTTTTTCCCTTTTTGTGTCTTGCCAGGAGAATAGACTTCGGAAAAATTAGAACGAGTACAAAATAATACAAAATATATGAATTTGAATTTATACTCCTTCCAAACTGAGCCCAAGTTCCTGAAATAGATTCTTACTTAGGCTTTTCTTTTAATTTTAATTAATCTGTGTGTAGGGGCTACTGGTGGGGAAGGTGGAATTTGAAGCCTCACACAACACAGGAAGAGAACTATTTTATCTTATTTCTTTAGGCTGAGTTTGGAAAGAGTACAAATGCAAATATGTACTATGCAAATACATACAAAATAATGTAAAATATTAGGTTTTGCACTAATGAGCATCGAGCATAGAGGTCACAGTCGTTGTTTGTCCTGAGAGTGTCTTTTGCAAACTGTTCATTGTCTTCCTTGATATGTGGAATCAGACAACATTGGCTCCCCTCCTCTCTCTCTCTTAATTTTTCTTCTTCTTCTTCTGCCCTTGTAACTGTTCATTGTCTTCCTTGAGACACCGGACCAGAGAACAGTGGCATCCCTACCCTCTTCCTATCCCATTGAAAGCAGCAGAGAGCATCTTCCTTAGCTGTTTTTGATTCCTCGCTCTCTTCTTGTAGCGGAACGGAATCGGCTTGTTACCAACACTCGAGGAGCTGCTTCAGCACTGCTAAGTGCTAACGACGACTTGGATACGATTCTTGAGCTGCTTCTCTCTATTTTGAACTTATTCCTTGAGACACGGCTCATCGTGCACGGAGCTATGTGAGTTCATTCCCGCAGGGTTCTTAGCTTTAGCATCATTGGTATCCAAACGTCATAAGTTTAAATGGATCTCATGATCCGGTCCCCATTTACACTTTACACTCTTACCAAAAACAAAAAAAATTACACTTTACACTCAATTAAACCGCCAAGAGCATTTCGAGCTCGCACCTATCCGAACTGCTTAAAAATTCTAATCCTGCGCTGAACCGTCGTCATTCTTTATTTATGAGTAAATTTATTAAACTATCATTGTGTTTTAACTAATTGATTAAATATATTCTTACTGTTTAATTATTGTTTAACTATTCAAAAAATTGCTATTAAGGGGGTATTTTTTTTCTGATTTTGAGAGGGAGAAAAATTGGTCAATAGAATTATAGTTTTTATTGACAAAAAATTCTTTGTTCTTTTTTTTCAGATTTATGTAGGAATTTTCATTTATTTTCTTGAATAAGTAATACCCATCTCTTAGGTAGATAAATAACTTTTCCTCCTGCTAACACTGAAGGGAACAAAAATATCTTTTTTAATAATAAATTTTTACCACTAAAATAGTTATTACCTTATTACATGACAAATAAAAGAACATGAATAAATACACTTACTCAAGTACTTTTCCTTCAAAAAATTTACCCAGATTATAATTGCATTTACCTAAATAAATATCAATTTTACCCTTACATTAAATTCCTTTGAACCTTTAAAGTTGATCTTATTCCGACAACAGCAAGCAACCGTCGAAGCCATGACCCCAGCAATAGTTGTGAAGCGCCCTATTGTTCAGAAGAGCGGCGGAGCCATGACCCCTCTTTCCCGTCCTCCAGAAAATCTCCCTCTCTCAACTGTCTCCTAAGTTTTATATCTTTTCCGTATCATCTCCTCCCTGGACAAGACAACCGCTCTCATCCACGCCTCCACCTGCCGCCTCATCTCTTATACCCAATTCACCCATCCGCCACGTTGAAAGAAGCTCATATTGTCTACCCAATAGAATTGTTCTAGAAACTTCATAATTACTGGGACGTCCATCTACAAAACAACTATTGAAGAAAAGTACAATTGCTCTATTTGTTTTCTGCCCTTATTCCCTAAATAAAATGTTGGGTAGCTGACTGATCTTATTAATTCTTCCTTCTTCCAGGAATTTCAGCATTCTATATTACATGGAAGTGTTCAGCAAGGGTATCCACCATGCTTTGGTTCCAGTGGACGGCTATACGCAGCGCCTCCCTCTCTGGAACAGAACTGACGGAATTCGCGTCTGTGCTCACTCAAATGGATGTGTTAAGTTTCTTGGGGTTGCACGGATCCGAGATGACCTGAATCGTTTTGGCGGAGTATTGGGGAATTGGGCGCCATTGCTGAAAATATTTTTAGTGTAACTAATCGGGCACCGTTCCTTGGACGTTGAGAGGAAGAAGACCCTTCCTTTGATGTTGACAGCAAGAACACTTTGGGTTGAGAGCAAGAAAGACTCCCAGTGAGGAATCTTATATATGAAATAGGATTGGGCACTTAAGGGCATTTCGGTCAAAAAATATTTAACAGGCTGACTCACTATTCAGGGGCAGTTTAGTCACGAAACATGCATTTAAGTTGACATGAACAACTTGGGTCATTGATCTTTAAAGGTGTTCTAATGGATGGTGAGTTTTAAAAAATAAAATCTCACTGACATCATAAGTTTTGGAAGTTTTGAAAAGTTATGATAAGTTTAAAAGAGTCCATAAAAATAAGACCTGAAATAACTAAGATGTCATGTACAGAAGGTGGCATGTATGAATTTAATTGGATGGGATAGAAAATTATTTGTTCAAGGGAACGGAGGATGCAAGCTCGATTCTTGGCTTCAAGCAAATGAGACATGTTCGAATTTTGTTGGTTGGGACAGAGAAAATTCTGTCCAGCCAATGCGAGCTCAAATAACTCCTCAACCTTCCCAATTAGTGATTGGTCGGTCCGACCATGATAATCATATCATATCTAAAACCTCTGCTACTGTCACGTATACAGCAGTTACCGGAATTATTTAAGTAACCGGTAATTATTTTTTATAAGTTAATTAAAATTTAAAATACTCTTTCACCTATCCGTTAACTGAATTTTCCATTACCCATTCTTATCTCATTCTAGTTTCCTCTTCTGGTCAAATTTCTCCCTTTTGAAATTATAAATCCATAATGCCTTCAATCAGCATCCAAGAGGTTATTTACCTCCCTCACTCTCTAGTACAGATATATTCTTCTTCTTCTTAAAGAGAACTAATACCTACATATGAATAAAAGCAGTGAAAGATATCCTAAGCAAAATAAAAATGGAGAACCAAACAGAGAGAAAGGCTTACGAATCACATATGTATCTAGGGTCACGTAATAAAACACCTACAAAACTACCAGTCTAGTAGTCCTGATCATATTGTCTGAGTCAATATGACCCAATCCAAAATAAATCCTGATCAAACCTTGACTAAGAAGCTGGTCATATTGATGGGGTCAGATTGGGTCATAATGGTCTACAAACTCGCATAAAACAGAACGAATATTCCTGGTCTACAAACCTTGCCAAAACTTAAATGGGATCCAGATTAATAGGGATCTCCCTAAGAAGTTGCTATTGTCTAAGCCTTGTTGAGGATCACTCCATATTTCACTTGGAACCAATTCATAGCATCCTCCTTTGTGACCCTGTGTTGGATCCCAATATGAGATTTGCACCTACGACGGCGAGCAATGCGATATCCCGGTCGTTCGAGAACGACATAAAAGTCCATACCACAAATACCGGTTGAAGGATCATACTTGATACCCAAATCGATATGCTTCTGAATACCGAAACCGAAGCATCCAGTATCACTGAAGTTCCTCCTCAAGAGCTCATATTCCTTGACCTTCAATCCACTCTCAAGAAGTTGCTTCGCCTTCTCACCGCTGAGTGTGATGTAGCATGTAATCTTTTCATTACATCTTATATTTATACCAAAAGACCGAATGATGTACCTAGCCTTTAAGAAAATGGGGGTCTATCCACTCAGCTGCTCCAATACCTTTGTGATTTTGGTGAAACGATCTCCACTTTCACCGACGGAGATGTTGAGGACTAATTTTTGAACTTTGATCTTCCGCATTAGGTTCGAGAGCTTCTTCTCTGAAGCCATTGCTCTTCGCAGTCGAGGTTACAGAGGCAACCGAGTAAGTTAATCGTTTGCGGTGGGATAGAAGAAACCCTCGCCATATTTAACTTCACCTTATTAGCTCTCAGGTGAGTAGGGGGAGGGTGACGTTTAACAGCGAAGACATTAACGTCTTTCTTATATTTAGATGATTTTCTTTTCTGAAATGTGATTTTAATTGTTGTTTTTGAAACCGGTTACTTGTGATAACTGTATTCACCGAAACGTAAAGTCCAATGTTGATTGGTCCATCTCATCCGATATGATATGGAAAAGATTCTTTTTCCATATCATATATTTTCCCCCAACAAAATCAATTCAGGTCTAAACTGATTAGAAACAAGTAAGAATCAAAACCAACCCCAGAACAAAATCCTAGAACCAGAATTGACATAATTAATTTGGTTGGTTGGGACTTATATTAGATAAACCCCACCAATTTATAGAAGTTTACATACCCCACAACCATTCTAATCTCTCGGTGTGTTTTTGCCTGACTACATTAGGTGTTATAATTGATTATACAACCCCTGACACAAGCACTAAATGTAGCTAATCCGAAATAATTAACCTTTCCCATACTTGGTATATATTAAGGGAAGGTTTTCAGGCCATAGTCCCCACTATTCAGATACATGGCAACCTCAACTTTTTAGAAAAAGTATATCAGAATTTGGTTGTTCACATTTTCAAATTTAAAACCCACTCCTCATATACATAAATTGTTTTTAACCATATTTAAATTTTTTAACTTAGACATGTGGCACTCTAAGACAAGTGTCATACATTCAATAATAATTCTTTAGAAATACATGAGAAGTGGGAAGCTCCCATTCTCATTCATTCCTAAAAAAATGCAGGAAATGTAGAAGTAGTTATCCACAACCACTTCAATCTACAGTCTTCAATTTCAATAGTTAGTTTTATTCGAATTTTAAATATAAATATAATTATTAAACAAATAGTGAAACTGAAATAAAAATTTTTAAAAAAACTCAAATAAAATAATATTACTATAAAAAACAAAAA